TGCTACTTTTCCTTCAATTTTTTAAACTATTTCATTATTCTTACCAGCTGGTGAGTCAGTACGTTCCTTTTGCTTAATCTAGCATCTAAGAACAAAGACCTTATCTCTTTTTCACTTATTCCAACAAAAGTCCTGGAAACTAATCTCATTAGTTTGACTTGAGTCCTTTGCCCATTAATGCTAATTGGCCAGGTTTTTGTCAGATACCCATAGTGGGAGGAGGGGTGGCTTCATCTAAACTCTATGAACTGAGTTTGGGTGAGATATAGTTCCTCTTTTTAATAGAAGGGGTTGTTACCAGAAGAAAGGGATGGATGCTTGGCAAATAATGGTAGGTTGAAGAACGGCTCCCCGAAAGATATTGATACCAAATACCTGGGACCTGTAAATGTTACCATATTTGGAAAAAGGGTCTCTGCAGATGTATTTAAGTTACAAACCTTGTTATGAGGCAATAATTATCCAAGTGGCCCCTAAACACAATCACATATGTTTAGCCCTCTGTATCCATGAGTTCTGCTTTCATGGATTCAACCAACCGGGGATTGAAAATGTAGTTAGGCCTGTGATGGTTGTGTTTGTACTGAACATGTTTGTACTTTTTTTTCTTGTTCTTATTCCCTAGATGATATAGTATAACAACTGTTTATAAAGCATTTACATTGTCTTAGGCACTATAAGTAATCGAGAGGTGATTTAAAGTATACAGGAGTATGCGAGTAGGTTATATGCAAATACTGTGCCATTTTATATAAGAGACTTGAGCATCCTTGAATTTGGTGTCTGCAGAGGTTACTAGAACCAACCCCTTGCAGATACTGCAGGTAACTGTATATCTTAATAAAATAGACACAGAGAGGATAAAGAGACACACAGACAAATAAGGAGGAGGCGATATGACTGATGGCGCTGATTGGAATGATGCAACCACAGGTCAAGGAGTGCTGACAGCTGGGAAGGATTCTCCCTTAGTGCCTCCAGACAGAGTAAGGCTCTGCCAATACCTTGATTTCAGAATTCTGAGAATTGTGAGAGAACAAATGTGTTTTAAGCCACTCATTTTGCGGTAATTTGGTATATCTGCCACAGAAAACTAATACAGCAGGTAAAAACAACAGATGCTGAATGCATATTATCTGCGTCCAAGGATCTTACAGGCTAATACAGAGGAATAGCTACATTCAAAGAACAGCTGAGAACATTAAGCATGTTAGAGAGGTCTCAGTAAACATAAACCTCTCTGAGGTTTCAGAACATTACTCAGAATATTTTGAGGACTATAAAGCAGTTATTGCTATGAGGGGAGATAAATCAGGAAAAAGCTTTTTGAAGAAGTGTTGAACGTAATCATAAAGAGAATAATGGGACATTATGAAAAGGTAGAAAGTCATAGTGAGAGAAGATAAAAGGTAAGAAATATGTCTATAAAAGTCTAACTAGGGTGAGGTAATAAAAATGAGGTTAAATAAATACAATTGACTCTTGAACATTGGTTTGAACTGCACGGGTCCACTTACACATGGATTTTCCTCCTCTTCTGCCATGACTAAGACAGCAAGACCAACACCTCTTTCTCCTCCTCCTCCTCCTCCTCCTCCTCAGCCTACTCAACATGAGGACAAGGTGAAGACCTTTATGATGATCCACTTCTACTTAATGAATAATAAGTGGATTTTCTCTTCCTTATGATTTTCTTAATAACATTTTCTTTTTTTCTAGCTTGCAAGAATACAGTATATAATATAATAACAGACAAAATTGAATTAATCAACTGTTTATGTAATTGGTAAGCCTTCTGGTCAGTAGTGGGCTACTAGTAGTTAAGTTTTGGGAGAGTCAAAGGTTATATGTGGATTTTTGACTGCATGGGATTGGGGGTCAACTCCTGCATTGTTTAAGAGCCAACTATAGTTGGTCCTTGAGTGCTAGGCTGGGGAATTTAAATTTGAACTAAGACATGATAATGAAGCACATAGGTTTTTAGATACAGATTGAAAGTATTATTTGAAAAGAAAAATCAACTTCCATGTATTAGTTTCCTATTGCCTCTGTAACAAATTACCACAAATTTAGTGACTTAAAACAATATGAATTTATTCTCTTAGAGTTCTGGGTGTCAGAAGTCCAAAATGATTTTTATAAGGATAAAATCAAGGTATTAGTAGGACTGGTTTCTGGAGGCTCTAGGGGAGAATCCATTTCTTACCACTTCTAACATGTAGAAGCTGCCAGCATTCCTTGTCTCAGAGCCGCATCACTCCAATCTCCACTTCTGTGGTTGCATTGCCTTCTCTGACTGCGATCCTCTAGCCTCTCTCTTGTAACCTTTGTGATTACATTCGGCCCACCTGGGTGATCTGGG